GCAAACCCATGTTTGAGATATATCAGTTATTGTGAAGTCCCATGAGATTTTCGAGAGCAAGTAGCGACTGTATAGCAGGATTTTATTTCGGGGGTGCAAATGTAATTCATCCATTTTAGATATGATATTATTAAACAAGTCACATATATCCGATTGGTGTTTTTCATCTGACATGTTGAAATTAAAATAACGTCCAAGGAAGCGGAAAGATTCACCAGTTTCGGTACGGGGTACAAGTAGGTGGCTAATAAACAATTTAGGTTGATATTGAACAGATTTAGATGAGTGTTTTTTAATACCGAACGTACAGCACTTGTCAACACGTATAATCATATTGGCCCATTGACACCATACCGAGAAGCGATTGAGTGGGATTTGATTTTCTTTTTCTTGGCTACTAATGATAGCCGCCTCGTCTGCAAACTGGAACCAATGAATTGGATTACACGGAATACCAGTTTTATTAAATTTCCAAAAACCAAGCTGCAGGAATGATTCAGACTTAATGTGTTGTACGAAGGTATTAAAGGACATATTGAAAAGGAGTGGACTAAGGCAGTCACCTTGTAAAACGCCACGGCCGACGGTAATGAAAGGGGTACTGAATTTTTCAGTTATAATAGATGTTTGGAAGTTAGTATAAAGACTCCGGATTAGTTCATTTATAGGATCAGGTATATGATGATACTGAAGAACTTTGTAAATAAGGTTGTGATGTATAGTTCACCGAATGCGTTTTTCAGATCGAGTAAAATGATTACAAGTGACCTTTGTTTTATACGGGCTGTGTTGATTATGTGCGCCATATGGGCTGTATGTTCAACAGTTCCTGCAACGTTTGGGGTAAAACCTTTCTGGATGTCATGTTCTATGTAATTGTTTTGAGATATGAAAGCGAAAATTTTGTTACGAAGACACGACGTAAAAACTTTGAGCGGAACAGATTCTAGAGTTATTGGTCTGAAGTTAGCGAGATTGTCAGTTTCGTCTTTTTTGTGAATCAATATCGTGCACGCTTTTTTCCATTCTGATGGAACAATACCAGATGACCAGGCAACATGGATAATTTCAGTTAAATAAGTACGTAGATATGGGCAGCGCTTAAGACAGATAACAGATATTTGGTCGAGAGGGCACGGCCGGTGAGCCAGACGGTTTCATCTTTCGAATGACATTTGTAATCTCATTATAGGTCGGAGGGTCAAGATTAAATGATATGGTTTCTTGCACTTCACTTGGTGGTATTAATATTAGAATGCTGTTTTTAGGGTTTGTAATCCAGGTGAGTATATATATACATTTTAAGACCTGACCAGAAACGACTGCGAAAAATGCAGCACAAGGTCCTCTGGTAGGAATTGAACCTACGGCCCTGCGATTCTGCTGCAGCGCTCTAACCAACTGAGCTACAGAGGCCAGCTGTTGAGCTGTAACCGTAAGTTCATGTATATATAGGTGATCGGGTGTGCGGTTTGCGATAAGGTGGACTTCAATGATCTGGTTTCTTGCACTTCACTTGGTGGTATTAATAATAGAATGCTGTTCTTAGGGTTTGTAATCCACCTTATCGCAAACCGCACACCCGATCACCTATATATACATGAACTTACGGTTACAGTTCAACAGCTAGCCTCTGTAGCTCAGTTGGTTAGAGCGCTGCAGCGGAATCGCAGGGCCGTAGGCTCAATTCCTAACAGGGGACCTTGTGCTGCATTTTTCGTAGTCGTTCCTGGTCATGTCTTAAAATGTATATAATATATACTCACTTGGATTACAAACCCTAAGAACAGCATTCTAATATTAATACTCACCAAGTGAAGTGCAAGAAACCAGATCATTGAAGTCCACCTTATCGCAACCCGCACACCCGATCACCTATATATACATGAACTTACGGTTACAGCTCAACAGCTGGCCTCTGTAGCTCAGTTGGTCAGAGCGCTGCACCGGAATGGCAGGGCCGTAGGTTCAATTCCTACCAGAGGATCTTGTGCTGCATTTTTCGCAGTCGTTCCTGGTCATGTCTTAAAATGTATATATATACTCACTTGGATTACAAACCCTAAGAACAACATTCTAATATTAATACCACCAAGTGAAGTGAAGTGCAAGAAACCAGATCATTGAAGTCCACCTTATCGCAACCCGCACACCCGATCACCTATATATACATGAACTTACGGTTACAGCTCAACAGCTGGCCTCTGTAGCTCAGTTGGTTAGAGCGCTGCAACGGAATCGCAGGGCCGTAGGTTCAATTCCTTCCAGAGGACCTTGTGCTGTATTTTTCGCAGTCGTTCCTTGTCAAGTCTTAAAATGTATGTATATATATATATATATATATATATATATATATATATATATATATATATATATATATATATATATATATATATATATATATATATATATATATATATATACTCACTTGGATTACAATTATGCAAACCCTAAGAACAGCATTCTCAAGATTAAATAATGTTGTTGTTGGGGAATTAAACTTGGGAATCCAGCTAGGAATGTTGAAAGTTTTATATGGAATAACTGTGGAAAGTGTCTTAGTAAAGTAAGCTGTACATTGGAAACGATTCTGTTTTTTTCTTGAGAAATTTTTTAACGTTACCCCAGAAATTATTATTGAATAACTTGTCGTGATCAATGTTATCTGACGCGTTGGCATCAGCATATTGTCGGTGTTATTCTTACTAAGAAGGCAACGCAGCTTTTTAGCAACAAATTTGATTTCTTTCAGATCACGGTTTTCGCACATTAATTTTTTTAATACTTTTTTTAAGCTCCTTAGCCGAACATGACTTATACTTTGATTCAAATTCGTTGTTATTGTCGGCAGGAACAAATCCATAATTATCACTGAAGTAATTGTATATCACTGTTGCCATGGTATTGATACTTTTATTGATTTCTTGATAATAATAATAATAATAATAATAATAATAATAATAATAATAATAATAATAATAATAATAATAATAACTAGAAATACATGCATGCAGTAACGCCTCGCCAATATTTGTCATACATTAAACATGAAGTATTCAGAAATGACCAGCACTGAACGCAGGCTCGCGCTCAAGTGTTGCCATGACTACACGACATTCTTAAATTTTTATCTTCATATTTTTTGTACAAAATTGCAAAATAATTGAAAGATTTGTACTTTTAACTATACAACAATAAATTTCCGAAATATATACTGTAGGTAATTATTTTGCATTTTGTGAGGTTTGATTTAATGTAAAATTTAACTTGAAACGCTTCGTAAAATGTTTTGAAATGTTCATTCAACTAAACTACATTTTGCCGATAAACTGTTTTTACTTAACAAAACATGATAAGTTTAATACAAATAAAACAAATTGTTAGGTAATTTCAGTTCTGTCTTCAAATCAATTTGTTCGCCTTTACATTTTAAGATTTTTTCTCAAATTAAACGGTAATTTATGAAACTTAGAGCTTCTATAATTCATGTTTTTTATTACGCAAAAAGTTAAAGCAACAAAGTTCGTAAACATTTTAAAAATATTCAAAGCAAACTTGCCGTATATTTCACGATTTCCCGTAGTAAACCAATTATTCTCATTTCTTCAAACAATATTGCTTCAAGCTTGTTGTATATGAAACGATTTTCCAAATATATGTCTTTTAAAATGAAATCTTGCTTGCCATATTTTTGAGATAAGTGAGAATGACCACCACTGAGCTGTATAATAACTGGAGTACCTGCTCCTATACTTCGTTCAGTTAACAAAGTGTCCGCAAAAACATGGCGGATTTTGAGTGAAAATGACGCCATTTCCATGACTACTGGTCCCTAAATTCATAGTAATTGCCACTGAACAAGGCTCAAATATGAGCCCGCCACAGTTTTCACCCCCCCCCCCTGGTTTTTATAAAAATATTTCGGCTTTTTGCAGTGAATACTTGTTGTTTTGATATTTTCGACATATTTTTTCGACTGTTGACCATTTGTTCAAAGGTGTGGAAGCCGTACACGTTCATTGTCGTCCGTGGAGCGTGAAAGACAACAAACAACTATTAAAACCTCGCGAAAGCCGAAATGTGGACAAAAACGATACTTCAAGCCAGAGCAAACATCCGTATTTATCAGACTATAAACAGGTATTTATAAATATTTCAAAATTCACATTACTATTTTAAATATTTCATGAAAAAATGTTAGGAATAAATGGTAGAATGTACTCTATTTTTTAGAAAATAAGCCACGAGTATTTATAATGTGGTTGTAGACGAACCTTTTTATAACTTTAAAATATAATAATTTCATCCCTCAATCCCAATGAATTAATGGTTGTGCATGTATATGAATTTGACAAATATTTGACATGAAACTATGATGTGCTAGTATATTAAAGAGGGAAGTAAGGTTTTATATATAGATTTAGCCAAGGCCGGGTTTGTCATGCATAAGCTTGTGGTGAACTGGTGCAGGACAAAGCTCAGGCTGGTCAGCTGTTTGAGAAATTAATGCATGTTTTGCCTAAGTTTGTATATTGTGTGCTCTGATAGTTTGTTGTATGTATCTTTAAAAGGCCATCCATTAACTTGTTTGTCCCATCCCTATGAGTATTGAGTTAATTGACTCAAGTGCTGGCATATTTTTGGTAAGGGTTGTTAATGTGACAGCTAGGCCAGTAAGCAAGACCTCACTGTGTGGTTATTTTTATAGTGGAAATTCCTTTCAAATTGTATGGACAACCTGACTGGCTCAGTTTTCAGATCTCACCTGAACAAGGCAAGCTCTCAGTTACACCAGGAAGGCGGGAACACTAACTGGACTGACTTGTTCAAAATAAAGTCAAAACAACATCGGTCATGAAAATATTGTCAAAACAATAGAATTGTGTCGGCAAAGAAATAATAAATTATTCTCCTAACTAGGCCAACCTGGCTTCCATATTCATAGCCCCTATGGCGCTATAATCTATTCTGAGCCTCCTCCGCAGGCATGGGCGTACCTGGCAGGGGGCGAGGGGGGCAGCAGTCCCCCAGTTTGTTGGGCAAATAAAGCCAGTTGGGCAATATTCGCTTCACAGTCGGGCAATATTGGCTTATTATAAAAATAAATGGGACAAGTTTGGAACTCTGGCACAATCCGAAAAAGTCGGGCAAATTTCTCCCCCCCCCCTAATTTTTCCCTTCCCGTACGCCCATTTTCCCCTTCCTGTTTGCGTTTTAGCCTGCAATGGGTTCCCATCACTCAATTCCTCGGGTGAGATGCCTGTGGAGGAGGCTAGAGTTCATGCCCCTGTTGTTAGTGAAACTCCATACCAAGAAACATGTATTGCAGTAATGTTTCAAAATTAATTAAAGACAAAAATTTGCTTGATTTTGTATATTATTTATTTTAATTAAAATTGCTAATTTCATAATTATTCTTTGACCATGCAGTGAATAATTTTAAAATATATAATACAGTATTATTAAAACTAGAGCTCATGCATCATTTTTTGGCTGTTTGTACAGAGTAAATATAACACATTCCCACAAAATTATAGAGAAAAGTCATTGTTAGTTCTGCCAGTTAGGTCTGGCTTGTATTAATTTCTTGTCCACATGACTTACATCAGTTTCGCCTTGAATGAGAAATGTCCATTATACATATAAAATAGTGACAGTATCATATGAAGACACTGAAGATGTATTGAGTCACAGATCCCAGACTCCGATTACAGGGAAATTTACTGTAGAGCAGAGCCTAAACTGTTCACTTAGACATTATTGATATGTTAACGCATGGCTCTCCAGTCCACAACTGTCTGGTGTTAGACAGAGTAAAATAATAAAGTAGGGTGCATTAGGGCACAATGCAACCTAATGGTTAATTAATATCATGGTATTTCAAATAAATTGACTCACATATATAGGTTCTGGCATTTATAAGCCTGTCTAATATGCCAGGAAATTTTACTTGTCAAGACGACAATTGTCCATTATAAATGGATTAATTGTATTTCTTAACTATCCCAAAGTTTCATTTTACATTAGAATATATCAAAAATAATCTAATGCATGCAGATCTAAGAGAGAAAGTTCATAAATAATGTCTAACTGAACAGTTGGGCTCTACTCCAATACTGGGAACAGTAACACTCCCACTGAAGATGCTCTCAAACATGTTATCAATCATCAATTTGATTGGTTAATTGTCAGGGCACAATTTTGGTCAATGCCAAGGACAGTGATTGAGAGAATATGCATTGGCTGGCACGTGCACACCCTTCATTCCTACAAATACTTAACTACAAGTCTAATGGCTGTGGGATTTATAGAACTCTGACAAACTATGTTGGTCAGATGAATGTACCATGTAAACCTCTGAATGCTTGTATGCATTCGTTAGCATTTTGATGGGCTGAGCTGTTGGAATGGATCCTTTTGCTGCATTAAAAAATACCTGTCCAAAAATAAGTCCATGGGCTAACACAGACTGAGGGACTTAAATTCGGGAGAGGGCTTATATTCAGAATTTCTTATGGTGGCCGTTCTACACAGGAGGGCTTATATTTGGGGTCTGTCATTGGGGCTTATATATTCAGAGGTTTATGGTTATTGC